CTTGAATCCACCTCTGCTCAAAACATTCTTTATCCAGAATAGTCATAATCACGAAAAATGTACATGAAAAACCAGATCACATCCTAAAAACAAACAGCAGTCACTAAGACATACATCAGGAGCCGACTCGATGGAGTTTAATGTCATACTCAGCGAAGGGCACAGATCTGTTTTGAAAGGTGGAGGGGGAGGGCATTTTGTGAGTCGACACCCACCTCAGCCCCACAATGGTTGGAGCTGAGGTGAGAAAATTTGAGGAAATAGTACCTAGATGGCCAGAAATGACACTTTTATATAGTAAAATTCATCATCATCACATTACCATTATAGTCAAAATTAAACGCCAACAAATTTCTCATGATCTTTTATCAGGGATCTTCTTAATATCCAGGACAACTTAGGCATAATTATAGCTTACTAAGCTTTAACAATATATACTATATTATGATCAACAAATCACATTTTCTTCACTTTTTATTGTTATTAATATTAATATCAATTATTACTATCGTCATCACCATCATTGTTATTATCATTATTACTATTAGTAGTAGTATTATTAAACAAACATTTAAAGAAACTTGCAAAAGGATAAAAACGAAATTGAACCACAGTATCGCATTTCTATCTTAAAAGAACTGGCCTGAGATTTATGGATTTAAGATTTTTTTTAAAATCACGCTTAGGCCTATGTGTTCTATTAGGCCTATGTAAAAATGTGTACTGATGAATATTTACATGTTTAGAAGTATTCATTTTGAGTGATCCCAGGAAAGAATTTGTATTGGCTCAAGAATAAGCTTTAAATTTTTAACACTGTGTACAAAGGGGGTGGGGGAGCCGCGGCTCCCATGGCTCCCTGGATACGTCCCTGATGCATGAAAACCTGTCGTATGAAAACTGTCTTGTACTAATTATTAATTGATTTATTTCTCCCAAGCTGATAACTACTATACATTGCACTTTTGAATCTGGATTAATTATACTCCGAAAAAATTTGTTCCCAGTAAGGTATCGTCAACAGGAAAAAGTTAGTGGCATAAATCGATGTTGTGACTGGTAGTTACATGTAGGAGAGTTTGTGGTATCTCCTGGATTTTCGTGTTGGTTTGGTTGAATTTTTGTTCAATGGAATTCTATCACATTTTATTTTATTTAAAAAAGTCATTTATCTGGCACCTTTGTTAATGTTATAATATAGTATCATTTGTTAGTAGTATCATCAATAGAGAATTTGAAGAAAAAGAGAAAACAAGTGTGTGTGTGTGTGTGTGGGTGTGTGTGTGTGTGTGTGTGTGTCAGATTGGGGAGAGGAGGTTGAGATCCTATGCAGGCCCAATGGTTTTAATATATTCAAAGTCTATGTAAAAATTAAACTTGGTTTAGTGTAACATACATTGGGAGTTGATTTTTCAATATGCTTCTTGAGCCAATGTTCAACTTCCAATATCTTCTTCTTGTGAATTGCAAGTTCATTCTAAAGATAAAAAAATACCATTTGAAAATATGAAAATAACTCTGCAAGTCGATACTAATACCAGATATTAATTTTCTTTTCAGGTATAATGAATAAAAGATTGTCAAAAGTAGCTAATAGCTGTAACAATGCTGTAGTTAAAAATTTCAATCTAAGGATAAAAGATACAAATTGTGAAAATTTTGGTATTAAAAATATATTAAAACATTTCTAACATCAGAATAAGGATGTTTCATAATTTCTATGAAATAGATTATAATTCATAATTAACTTTATTGCAATCGTATTGGATAATACAAAATATTAAAAAAAGTAAAAAAAAAATCACAAACAGGCACAATTAGTCATAAATTATCATTCTTATTATATATAAAAATATTATCTGCTATCAATTATTATCATTTAATTTGTAAATGTAAAAAATGCATTATATTAATTGGTATTTATTATTGCTTGTATGTATAATAAATATAAAAATATTTACAAAAATAAAATTAATCCATATCAGAAAAATATGTCTAAAAAAATTAAAATTAAAATTTTCCTTTTTTGTCAAATTCTAATTATAAAATTATTTACCAAAAAAAAATTACATCCAAATCACAAGTAGAAAGTAGATTTATGTCGCAGGACGCGAGTACAAGACTAAACAAAGAAAGCAAACACCGAATTGGATGGAAATTATCATTTTATTCAATGACGAAAAACAATTTAATATATAGATAACTCAAAACGTGTAATGGGGCAGCCACCCACTGATGTCGTTATATTAGCTAAACATTTTATAGAATGGGAACATAAGGCTGCCCCTAAAGATTAAATATAAAGAGTATATAAATATATAAGATAAATATAGAGAATGACTATATAAGTTCAGACTGTTACATTCGACATACACCTGACACGTGATCAATACATAAATACAATATAAATCGTCCATGAAGAGTGGTAAAACGTTAATTTAACAAATTAAGCATCAAATCAATTAATTAATTACTAACAACCTGGGTGCACGCGCTAAAGACCTGACTACAAGGAAATGTCACCACCCAGACAAAAAGAAACAAGGTGAGGGAAGAGTCAGGAGCTATGCTCCACTGACACCCCAACCCCTCCCCCTAAAAATCGGTGAATGGTACTGCGAGTCCCTGCTCAAACGGTATCAAACTCGAATTTTATAAAGTGAATAATTGGATCCAAATACAAGGTGGGGCATACCAACTAAACAAAGACGCCAGCTTTCCAGTGTAACGAGTGAGATGTTTGCCAATGATAAAATGTTAATCAAACGCGTAGAAACGCATGGGATGACCCGGTAGAACAAGACTGCAAGCGTAGTTAAGTAGACCGTCCATTGATTGCATTTCATGCAGAGTCACTTTCCTCCTGACTAAATGTTTGTTGAGCTTCGCTGCAGAGAGGCTGAGGGTGCGGGGAGCGGCAGATCGCACAGAGGTGTGCGTACCTGCAAGTGGTACCCGCCGGACAGAATTTCCCTGCGTTGAATTTGAAACAAACCAGTCGCTGTGGGGGATGAAAGAATTGAGCCCTCAAAGTCCCAGTGGAACCTAGTTTCATCATCAATTTGGGGTGCAGTTCTTAGTAGTTTTGTTGACCACTTGAGGCTGTTTATTGGATATGAAACTGTTTATTTAAACATGACGTAACAATAGA